CGATCACATTTATTTTACGTCTCCGTCTTTAAGACAAACGTTCTGGAAAATATTAGCGTTTCGTGTTCGTTTTGACTTTGTGTGGACGGGGCCTTAAATGGCAGTTTTTGGCGACAAATGTAGGCCTACAATATTATGTTGAAAACGTCAGCCACAGCCCTCAACATAATGACGTCACGTGTTTTCCAACCCAGCCATCAGCCCCCCTCGCTTGAAACAGCTTCCAGCGCGCCTGGTAAAATGCATTTAGATTTGCATTTGTTTTGCGTCAAAATGTGAAAAACAAATCAAGTTATATTTACCCTGAAAGCATACGTCTTTTTTTTTTTTTGCTTTCGTTTCTGTTACAAGATCTCTCTGACTCTTCCTTCCTCAAACTACTTTTTTTCATCCCCAGACTGTACATAGTGGATTTACCATTGGGTTACACCTTTCTGACTAAAATGCTCCACCCATCTTAAACTCCTCTAACAGGTCTGCATGTCAAAAACATCCAGGTGATAAAAGAGTTATTTCCCATCTATGGCAGGAGAGTTGACACACAACTCTTCTTGATCAACCGGGCTGGATATCTGTGTTTTAAAACCTTATACTCCTTATTCAAGGTACGGCTCTCTATGTTTTTACCTTTTACATAGAAATTTGACTCTTAAGAAATTGGATGCAGTTTAAATTGGTTGCTGAACTTATATACCATAGTTTGACTGAACACCTGGAAATGAGAAAGAAATATGCTTGAAGGAAATTGACAATAAATTGTTTATTTCTCTACTCAGGACTCATATTACAATAAAAAAATTATAAAAATCTGTGTTCAACATAAAGATGGAAAGTTACAAAAAAGAACCTCAACACTATTCTAAAGAAAATGGCATTCCAGTATTGATTCCTTGGCTTAGAGAAGGATATTCAACAAACCTTACTCAGAGAGTGAGTTTAAGCGCCATTATCACTTCTGCTGAAGTGCTCACTTATGACCTAGAATACCTGATGTGCTACATTCAATGGATTTTTCCTGTAAGTGATGCACAATTGCTGTATATTAACTGCTGTTGTTTAGGCAGGCAGGTTTTAAATTCTTGGCAGAGTGATAGGAAGGAGTGATGTTTGTGCTCTGTGACAATATAGAAGGACAAACCTGTAGCAAAGAGATGATGAGCTCAGCTGCATAGGCTGGAAAGGAGACGCTGCATTTGGAAACAAATAGGAAAACAAATTGCCGTCCAGCAATGCAATACTTCTCAAAGTAGATAAAGCAGGAGATATTTTTTCACCGTTTTTGAGAGGAATAAGAATACATAAGAGATGCACCAAGATAGTGTCTGTTGGAAAGTTGGTATAGTTATCACTTGACCAAATCAGAGACTTAAAAAGTATTTTTAACACTAAGGGTACCATAGCCAAGCACTGCCAGGCTACTTTGACAACAGTCTTTGCAGTTATAGTTGCTTTAGTAAGCAGAAAAGACTTAAAGAAAATTGTTTTTTTAAGTTTCATAGAGGTACTAAAAATTAAAGACAGATTTAAGATGCTAAAAACGACTAAGACTTTAAATTAGACAACATAAAGCTGTAAGAACTAGAGCTTACTTTGTCACTTTCTGTAAAACATTTAAGACAATTCTTAAAAATAACAGGAACCCATTACATTTATTTTTTAGCACTCAAACATGAAGGTTTAGATGAGACCAAGCTGAAATGAAACAGTGCACAGTGAAGCTGTTATCCAACTTTTTTTTCTACCTTGTCAGGCTGCCAGCTTTTATCAGATTGAGATGTAAATGCAAAAGTGGGGCAATTTTTCTGGATTATATGGAAAGTCTGGCACTTTTTAAAGGCAAAAAAAATTTCTTATGGCTGCACTTGTGAAGCAAAATCAAGTTTCTACTTTGGAATGAAATACAATATACATCTTTAAAGTCCGTGGAAAATCAAACCGAAATAAAAGCTGAATTATTGAGGGGCTTTTTTTAATCGTCCAGAAATAGATAAATCCGATCACAACACAAAAAGAAAGTGTTTTTTCCTTTGAAGTCATCATACTTTGATACAAATCACATTGAGGACTGCAGCTTCCTGTTAGGCGACATTTTTTCAAACATTGTTCAAACATTTAAAACTAATAGATTGAATAAGATTCATTTGTCCTTTTTACAGTGGAAGGCTCTGATGATGAGTCACCCACTGAAGTATTATGAGTCAGATTTAAGAAACTCCCTAAAGACTGAATGTAAAATATGATTGAAACTTGTAATACATTTGTGAAACTATTGCCTCGCTGTTTGGATTCCACACAGCTCATCAACATTGAAGAAGTGCCTTTGTTTTTTGTATAAGACTGTTAACATAACCTCAGGGGGAAAGCAGTGGCTTTTTTTTGGTAGTGTAAAATCTACTTAGTTCCTATGTGAAGATGCTTCAAACACCGTTATGTTCTTTTTCACATGTTAAATCTTTAGTTTAGGGATGTCATTAAAAAGGTACAATACAATCACTACTTTGGGATTGCTTCTTTTTTTGAAAATTAATTAAAAAAACTCCAGGTATCTTTTTTTTTTGGGAGCCAGGAAGAACATGGTAACACTGGAGAAATCCACAGCTCAATCTGTTAACATGACAGCTATTAGTTCAGCAATTCACAAAATCGGTGTTAATTGATAGAAGTGAGAGAAAAGCCATTGCTGAAAGAAACCCCATGAATTCCCATTTTCTGTTCAACAAAAGCCGTTTCAGGGAGATAGTTTGTATTAAGAAGAAGGTGCTGTGGTTTGAAGACACAAAAGCTTAAAGGAATAGTACACCCAAAACATGATTAGCCTTCATTTTCTACTCACCTCCATGCTGAACAACACTCTGGAGTACTTTTTTGATATCTCAAATGCATCTGGAGATCTGGGAGGCTTCTTCCTGTCTGCTGACATTCAA